ATCCAGGGGTCCATAGTCCGACCAGGGGAACAGATATATCCTGGGTTCAAGGAATCCTCAGACTGTTCAGGCAGGTTCAGAGTCAGAACAGATCAAAAAGCGTGCCCAGACAGACACGCACAAATGCCGACGGGCAGGCTCAGTGGTTGAGGCACAGAGACAAGACGTGTTACCGTGACTACAGTAATAAAACTGACCTTGTCCGTGTTCCAAGCCAAAACAAGACAGAGACGAAAACCCTCTTAATTGGCTGGCCGCCAGGAACCAGGACATGAACCAATGAATAAACTAAACTAATTAAACAGATAAACTAACAGGTACAAACAAACAGACAGCAAACAATGATCTGGCCCCGATAGCTGGGACTGAACCGAATATAAAGCAGAAACCCAGGTGGATAGGATGAGGGGTAATTAGGAACCGGGCAGAATTAAGCAGGTGAATTACATGAACAATTAGGGTGAACCATCAGAACAAATCATGACAGTTACACTGTATTTCAAAGTTAGTGTGCAAAATTTAGTTAACCCTGTTTTTGTTATGATTATTTCTAATGTAGGCTATATTCTGTTTGAGCTTTGCAGTTGCTCCAGTCCCTCGACTGAGGAACCAGCAGGTAGCCAAGGGGATGACATGATTGGACCACACAGCGTCAGTGCTATGGGGGAAAATGGGGTTATTTGGTTTAGTTTTTTTGTTTTGCCCCACGTCTTTCTTTAGTGGACTAATCAGCCACTGTTCAAGTTCACTTTTTTTCAATAAGAGAAGTCAGAACCACTAACCCTTAACTGTCACTCGCAATAAAGTCCCACTCACAGCTGTGGAAGGTGCCTGTATTGTACGTTGGGGGGTACAAACGTAAATTGGATGGCCTCTTCCCTCCAACTGAAATGGAAAACTGTAGTTCCTATGGCAACACAGTGATGCCTTACATGCATGGCTGTAGTTCTGTGGTGCAGGTTAATATAACATCAAACATTTGTCATTTTCTTAAAAAATAAACCTATCCAGTCACATAAAATATTTCAAAGATTTAGGGATTAATTACATCTTTTTTTCCAAACTTGTGATTTTCTGTCAGTGTGATGAAGATCCAGCAAACTGATGGAACTTACATTTGAATGTTTGTTTCCTCCACCACTATTTCGCTTATACACCCGGGGGTGTGCTCGATTTTAGAGGTTGCATCCTCCAAGGACACCGTCTACCTGGACTGGATGCTTCAAGGTCCATGAAAGTAAGGAGACCGGAAGAGTTTTGAACCAAACAGGTCCAGCCTTCTGTGGCTTTAACTGCCTGTATGCTCTGTCGCCTAGCAACCATGAGAGTTGACAAAAAAAGGCAGGACAAGAATGAAAACGAACTCTAAACAGATGTTTCTTTTTATTTTTTTATTGTCAAGTGAACAAAGACAACACCCATGAGAATACAGAGTGGATTAAAGATGACAACCAACGGGAGGCAATGAAATTGTTTAAAAGGGGGTAGAAAGATACAAGTAAATCAATATATATATATATATATATATATATATATATATATATATATATATATATATATATATATATATATATATATATATATATATAAATACTTCCATAAATATATTTCAATAATTTTAGTGCCAATTAAGGCCTTGATTTAAAAAAAAATTAATGAATTGTAATTATTTTTAATTATAAACAATGTAATGTGTAAAAAATATACCTGCAAACTCTCTTAAAATTAAAAAATCCTATTAGATTTATAGTCCCCACAATGCAGACATATTAGAATCTGTCCTTAAATAACAGCCAAACCGATTTACACAGCAACAGATAAAAACCTTTCGTTAAATCAAACATTACACGCCACATATCTGACTCATTAACCATTTAAAACAATTTTCATTAGTTTAAGATGGAACTGTCCACATAGTTGTATTAAAAGAAACTGCACTTCCAAAATTCACCACTGTTCGACGCAGAGTACCTTTTTCCTCTGAGCAAAATGGGCAAAAATAAGGATGCAAATGTTGGTCGCATAAAGAGGGGTCTAACCCCTAGATTCCACATACTCCATCAGCGCTCCGCCCCGCTAACGTACATCGTGCGGAGTGCTTGTCTTTCATGTAAATCAATGAGAGCTGTTCCACGTCCACCGCTACTCCTCTGCACCTCTCCGTCCACGTACGTCTTCTCCGTCCGTCACCGACAAAATACGGAGCCGAGCTGTTTTTTGCTCCGGTCCGGTCCGATCCTAGTTATCCCCGTTACAAAAATCTACAACAACAAAAAATATTTGGGCAGAAACTGAACATATGCTGGATGATGATGGATGATGATTTTTTTAATGCGTCACATTAAATTAAGCGTTCACAGGGTTACAGAAATGACTGTAATTTAATGCATTTTTATTAAAGAATCATAAATGCCACGATAAACATATTTAATTAATTTTAGTGCCAATTAAGGCCTTAATTTAAAAAGAAATTAATGAATTGTAATTATTTTTAATGATCCGCGGAAACCCTGGTTCATTTCCGCATGTTTTGCTGCTTTGAATTTAAAGGAATAGTACACCCAATACATGATTAGCCTTCATTTTCTACTCACCCCCATGCTGAACAACACTCTGGAGTACTTTTTTGATATCTCAAATGCATCTGGAGATCTGGGAGGCTTCTTGCTGTCTGCTGACATTCAAATAATGGAGGTCCATGGCGCCCGAGGCAGAAAGGTCCAAAAAGGTCCACAAAAAACGTGTCAATATTCCTCCATACTGCTCGTCCAATGTATTCCAAGTGTCCTGAGTGGGTAGCATCCAGAATTTACTCGAAACGAAGTCATTTAGAATGTTTTTAGAGCATAAACAGTAGTGTATAGGATTTCCTAAAAGCGCGCTCACGTGTCTACGGAAACCGCGGCAGACCAAACCAGATGAAAGTGCGCATTCAGCGTCTGCTCTGCCGATAATGCAAGCGTAGAAGAAGAAATGTGCTGTTTACCTGTGCAAAGAAAGAAACAACGAAAGAAAAATGTCTGAGGACTTCAGTGTTGAGGAAGAGCATGAGTTCTTTGCCGAGCTGAATGCGCACTTTCGTCTGGTTTGGTCTGCCACGGTTTCCGTAGACTCATGAACGTGCTTTTAGGAAATCCTATACACTAGTAGGATGATTTGCTCCCTGTCACTAGGGTAGTGACAGGGAGCAAAAAGGTCAGAAAAATATGAAAAATAAGCAGTTTGATGGAGAAAATGTAAAAAGCATCAAAATTGTCTAAGAAAAATCATAAAACATTTTTTAAAGGTGTGTATTAGCATTCTTTAATGAGTTAAGGATAGAAATTTGTAAGTTTGGTACCATAATTACACGAATTATGCAAACCCGGATGTATATCTTGTTGTGCATTTGCAAATGAGCTGATGGTAAGGAAATCTGTCAAGAACAGACTGAATTAATGTAGCAAAACATGGATGGGACAACGGGAAACTGCAACTCAAACACTGTAATCGTGTTTTTAAAGTCAATTTATATGCCTATACCAGAAAAAACAAACTCCAGTCTTCTTTGACAAAATAAGGGTATGAAATCGAGGTGTTTGTCCAAGCAGTGTTTTAATCGTCCTTTTTGCACCTTTTTACTGTTGATCTTGGACCTTTTTTTTCTAACAGCTACACTGAAATGTTATAAAATAAATGCATTTACCTTTGAGTAGGTAAATAAGACAATCTTTCAATGGAATTAGTTTTTTATTCTTAAAAAAAGATCATTAGATAATAGTATTGGGGCAGGCTTTACTTTTTTTGTATTTTGAGAATAAAGTCATAATGTTATGAGAATAAAGTCATAAAAGTACAATAAAGTAACATTTCAAGAATAAAGTCATACAATTATGCGAATAAAGTAATACTATGAGTATAAAGTCCTAATATTACAATTGTAAAGTTGTATTTTATGACTAACTCTTACAAGAAACTTTCTTCCCTAAAATGAGGAATATCGAGCATAAGTTGAAGTTACACTTTGGCATCGGCTTGACAAATAAGGGAATGTTTTAGCACACCAGCATCAAATTGGACAGAATGTCAAAGTGGACTCTGGTTTCGGTTTGGTTCTTTTGGTCGGACGTCATATGCTGGTCGGAGCTCAAAGTTTTCTTTCTGAAATGGGTTGTGGTATGATAACTTCATTCTTATTATTTTCCAACTTTATATTCATATTATTACGATTTTATTCTCGTAATGTCTTTTTTCTCAAAATAAAAAAGTTTTTAAATCTCCGGCCCCTTTTACTACGTTGTAAACATGCACTCAAAATAAGACAATAAAATTGCTTTTTAAAATTCTAAATATAAAATGTCTTGTTTCCATTGGCAATGCGTTTCACTTACCTCCTTATTTGGGAAAAATCTACTTATTTTAAGAAAAAAATGACTTAAGATTTCTATTTTTTGCAGTGTATCCTGGAAGTTTCATTCACTCGCCTCCATTGCCTCGGCTTGTTAACTAGTGTTGCACCGATACCGATACCAGTATCGGACGGGGCCCCGATACTGCCCTAAAATGGTGGTATCGGTATCGGCGAGTACCAACAAATAGGGCACCAATACCTGTTTGAGAGCCATAAGTTTATTCAACTATTGTCACCCACTCCTGATAGGCAATAAAAAGTTCTACTGGTTTCACTTTGTATTAGATTTTATCCTGCTTCCCAAAGGTAGGCAGTAGCTTGACAAAGCCATGATGGCAATTATTTTAAATTATTATGGTATCGGTATAGGCCGATACTGCACAGCCAGGTATCGGGTATCTGTATCGGGGCCAAAAAATGGCATCGGCACAACACTATTGTTAACCAATACTATGCATATGGAGTTACGTAATCCTGGGCAAAAACAATGCTTAAAAGACTAAAGTAAAGAGAGAGCAGGACACTGCCATTTGTCATAAAGAAGTAAAAGTCAGTTAACTTGACCATAGCTTTAAGCTAAATAGAAAACATTTTTCTAAAAAGGTTCAGATACTTTAAATCCCTTATTCATTTATTTTGTGTACAGATCTGACAAAGAAAGACAATAACAGATCAGATTACAGTACAATTCTTCCCTTTTATCTAAAATCATAATTTTTTTTATTATAAATTAGATAAATTACATCAACTGAAGAACAGAATCTACAAGAAAATTCCAGACTGAGTCCGGAAGTGGTTCTTTGTTCCAAAAGGTTTCATCCCGCTTCACCCGGCGCTTTGTTTACATCAGACACCCAAGAGTCTCACTTCTGACTAACGATGCTGCGTGCAATCAGCTCCTTCATGATCTCATTAGTTCCTCCGTAGATGGGCTGAATGCGTGAGTCCACAAACGCCCTGAAACAACAGAGAAAGAAGGGTTAACATAAAGCAAACGTCCGATCAGGGGTCTACCTTAAAGCTGCAGCACCTACTTAGCAATAGGGTATTCCCACATATAGCCCCATCCTCCATGGAGCTGCAGGCACTGGGTGGCCACTTTGTTCTGAAGATCCGACGCCCTGTTTGGGAGATTTAGAGTGAAGGTCTTTTCTTTATTTTTGACATTTGCGATTTTATGTGAGATTTCTCACCAGAACTTGGCCATAGATGCTGTGGATGGATCCAGGCGTTTCTCGGAAAGCAGCGTAAGGCAGTTATCGATGAAGGCACGGCCAACGCAGATCTCTGTCTTCAGCTCAGCCAGCTTGTGCTGCACCGTCTGGAAATCACAAAGAACTTTAACTGGTGGATGATTGGTCATGCTGTGGGCCAGCTTCTCTTTTAAAGGTCTAAAGAAACTGTTTAATTTGCAAGATATGAACTACACCGGTGTAATTTAAATACATAAACATTAAATATAGAATTTGGTTAATCAATAAAATTCCCTTGTGCATCTTTACCAGGATCGGCAATAAATGGCAGTCCATTGGTCTGCATGGATGTTAAGTCACAATGGTGTTTGGCTTCAAGTGAAAAGAATGTGATTTGTATAACAAATAAATTAATTTTAAAAAGTGTGAGAAAGTAACAGGTTAAAACTTCACATTACTGAAATACAAAAAACATCTATGAAAAAAGTACATAACTCTCAAAACCTTTTTTCAATTATCAAAAAAAATTTTCAAGGATGATTTTTTCTTTATATCAACAGATCATACTTTTTGCTTGCAACCATTATGGAACAAAATTCACTCAATATTTACAAAGGAAGTTCACTGTGAGTATATTTTCTCTGAAACCACCAAGTTCAGTCCATGCAACAAGTGAATATCCACATTTTTTATAAGAAAATAATACTGAGGAGAAAAAAAGTCATAGTTTAGACATAGAGCTACAATCTATGAGTTACCCTCATGACTTCAACAAAGAAATGTAAAGAAAAAAACAATTAGGCAACACAGCCTCCTAACAGATTTAAGAGGAAAACAAAGAAAATACAAAGATACAATCCCGGACAAGGCCCCAACATATTTTTCACCTTTACTGTTTTGAGCCATACTATTGCTGCAAACTATATAAAAGATGCTTTTTCAAGTTAAAAACTAAAAGAGGGCCATTTGGTGATACAGACCTGTAGATGAGCGATGGTCTTTCCAAAAGCCTTCCTCTGCATAACATAGTTCCTGGTCTCCTCAAACATGAACTCACAGCTGGATATGGCCATGTCAGCAATCACTAGACGCTCCTGTGGCAGTTCATTCATCAGGTAGTAGAAACCCTTGTTGAGTTCACCCAGAAGAGCACTAGCTGGAAGCCGCACATCCTCAAAAAAAAGTTCCGCCGTGTCCTTTGAGACAAAAAAGGAGAAATCAAGCATCCGTAAATTGAGCCATTCGTTATCAGGATCTGCGTCGGACACCCGCTACCTGTGCCTTCAGGCCTATTTTCTCAAGTTTCCGTCCTTTTTGGAAGCCCTTCATGCCATTTTCCACAAGGAACAGACTGATGCCATGTGCAGCTGCCTTTGCCTCGCGGTTTGTCACGGTCACCACCACCACCACATCGGCCATCCAACCGTTAGTGATGAATACCTTAGAGGAAGAGAAAGACATTGAACCCCATGATGCATTTGTAGTTGAAGTTCCCTACTGGATTTTTACTAAACTCTTACTTTGTTGCCATTCAGGATCCAGTCACTGCCGTCCTTCTTGGCATATGTCCTCACACCCTGAAGGTCACTGCAGCAGTTTAAACAGAGACACCTTGGTTAGGAATATCTTTAACGCAAGACAGGAAGTGAGGCTGCCGTCCTCACCTGCCGGCTCCAGGCTCAGTCATTGCGATCGCCCCAATGCATTTCCCAGCAGTCATAGTGGGAACGAAGCGTTCGATCTGCTCCTTAGTCCCATAGTTTACGATGTAAGGCATGACTATGTCCGAGTGCAAAGCAAAACCCGGACCCGTGCAGTTGGTGTACATTCTGACAATGGAACAAAGTTGAATTTTATTATAAAAATAACAAATGTTTAGTCTTAAAAGGTTGCTTCTCATTTTGAAGTATCTGTATAAATGTTTTCAGTTATTAATAGCAGATATCAATGAATACAGATAAGTGGATGAATTGCAAACTCACTGCTCTTCCCATGTGATGGCTGCAGAAAACACATCCCCTCCAATGCCACCATGCTCCTCCGGTACCATCAACCCGAGCAGACCTAGCTCTCCAGCCTTTTCCCACACCTCCCTGCTCACCTGGCCCGCTTTTTCCCACCTGGGAGAACAAATAAAGTTCTAACCTAAACCGTAAAAAAAAATACTTTTTCTTTCATCATCTCCCTCTGGCTCTATGGAGTGAATTTTGCTTCATTAATCTTGTGAACAAATAACATGTTTTGTTGATGAAATAAAAAAAATTCCTTCTAAAAATGAAACTTTTACAATTTTTTTTTTTAATGAAAAGAATGGTTTTGAAAGAAATTGTTATGCTTTCTCATTTTAGTTTACTTTCTTTTCTCCATTTTAATTTTTCAAATTATGTTTTACAGCTAAAATTTTCTTCACTTCAAGGCCAGTACAACTTGCTCTGAACCGCCGAAAATGTTGTTTCAACCGTCCATTTGCAATTTGAAAACAGTGCATTCAAACTAAATCGAAACAACAGAAATATGTAAAACAAAAAGAAAAAAAACATTTATTTTTAAATAAACTTTCAAAATATAACAGCTGCAGAAAAAATTACAAAAATAAAATTCTAAAATATGAAAAACACATTTCAAGAAAAAAAGATTGGCAAAAACAAACTTCCGATCCCAGATTGCCTTTTTTTAAAAATGTTAAATTTATAGCAATTTATAGCAAAAATAAGTTCACTCCATATCCAACCACCTACTCTTTGTGGTGTGGAACAACTTCCTCTTGGAAGAAACGGCGAACGCTTTGCCTGAAGATATCGTGGTCCTCGTTAAAGATGCGACGAGTCCCGATGTCCATCAGGGTTCTGGCGCTGGAGGTCTCTGGTCGGATCGAGGCGACACGAGGCGTCCCTTGCTGCTGAGCCTCAGTGTGCTGCTTCCTGTGAGGAAACAGAACTATAATGGTTTGTTTTGAGAAAGGTACTACTCCGCTATGAAGTGAATTTTGCACCATTATTGTGGACCACACTGAATATTGGAATAAAAAAATAAAAAAAACATTGTAATCCAAAAATGAAATTTTGGAAAAGTTTTTCTCAGATGATGTTAAAAAAATAGACACATCATTTTATATATATATATACATATATATATATATATATATATGTATATACATATATACATATATATATATATATATATATATATATATATATATATATATACATATACATATATATACATATATATATATACATATACATGTGTATATATATACACACATTTCTTATTTTCACGTTTTTATTAAAGTTTTTTTAGTGTCTGGTTTTTAAACCGAGTTTTACTGACTGTATTCTTTTCAAAATCGTTTTATAGATCACATTCTCCTTACTTCAAGCCCACTACGAGCGCTGCCTCTTGACCTGTAAAAATCTCGTTAACATTTTTTTAAATGCAGTTCATAAATCTCAATCTAAAGAAGACACTTAAAAAAGTAAACTAAAAATCTGTTGAAAAATAAAAAAAGGGGAAAAAAATAATATATATATATATATATATATATATATATATATATATATATATACATACACATATATATATGTAATAAATTTGAAAAAAATATTTTTGAAAAACAAAATCTAAGACAGCAAAGTTGTCTTTAAAACGTTTTTTGAACTTTCATTTCTTGATTGCATTTTCTCTTAATCCCATTTTAAAAAATTTGTTCTTTGCAATAATAATAGAACCATATTCAGTTTTTTTTTCTGCATATTTAAACCAAATTGATCTGAAACTGGTTTTGTCATTTTTCTCTTCCTTCAAGTTATAGAAACATATCAAAATTCCTTTTTTTCCCCAAAAAACATTCTTGTTTCGTTTTCTGAGCTGATTAAAGTTTTTAAAACTGATATTTAAGGATCTTTCCAGTAAAAGAGGCTGTAAAAGAAGTGTGTCAAAGGTTACAGTGACCTGTTTACAAACAACCTTTGCATCCAATAGAACATTTGACGCTTATGTCACAGAGTGATCAGAAATGTTATCATTATAACTTCACACTAACAGACTAAAAACATTTCTACTTTTAAAATTTAGATTTTTTTCTCCCTCTCAGCCACCTACATATATCTATCTCTCTTTAATAGTTAATAAGAAAATGTAAACGTCGTGTTTAACCTGGCAGCGGCTGCAGGAAGCGCCTGTCCTCGTCTGGAGACATGTTTAACTCCAAACAAACACGATTTAAAAGCTTTCTTTAAGAACATCCTGGTTGAAAATCAGTCAAACAAACGCAGAAACAGGAGAAGCAAAGATCGTCTAGTTTGTAAACACCGACCACTCGGTTGCTTTATGCTATAGGTGTGGAAGGCGTTTTCATTTTTTTCCCCAAATTTAACTGGTTTGGTTTTCTAGTATTAAAAACACAGCTTTAAATTTAATATACGCGTACATTTCTTTTTAAACTTTAAACGTTTGTTGTCTTTCAGAGAACGCAGAAAAACATATCATATGAAGCAGAGTGACACCTCCTTTTTTTGTAGTTCTCTTTTTTCTTCTTTGAGCTGAGGAATCTGGGGCATCTTGTTCCCTGCTGTCACCTAGTGGTAGATTCTTAACAAGCCACTATTCTGGATTTACGTTTTCAATAAAATGATAGACAAAACTGTATATTATTTAAATCCAGATTTTAAGACGGATAATTTTTTTTATCATTACATCAAATCTAAAAAGTACGGAAGAGGATTAGGGCCACTGAAAAAAAAAAAAAAAGTTAACTGATTTTTAAATGTTATTTTTTCAGTTCAGTATGGGAAAAAAGTCAGAATTCTGAGATTAAAGTCAGAATTTTGACTTTAATCTCAGAATTCTGACTTTAATCTCAGAATTTTGGATCTTACGGTAGATGGGCACCATGAAGTACGGAAGAGGATTAGGGCCACTGAAAAAAAAAGGACTTAATTTTGTAAGGGGAAAAAAAAAAAAAAAAAAAAAAAAAAGGAGTGGCAGATTAGTGATAATGAGAAAGGTGTGTTACTGTAAACTTATAACAGGTCCAAAGGTTACTGGGACTATTAAAATAGACTTAATAACAGGAGGTAAGTCTGCTGGTGAAGATTCTCACTCATCCAGGTCATAATCAGGGCCGTAACTACCATTGAGGACACAGAGGTCATGCCCTCGTTATCAATTATTTTTTCTATTGCTTAAACTGTGATATTCACCAAAATAAATGACAGTGAATCTGACCGTAGGGCTGTAGTATGAGCCATTTCTGCAGCAGTCTATTGTCAATGCAGTTGCCAAGATGGTTTACTATTACCTACATTATGGCTTCATACAGGTTGGAGAACTTCTCACACACCATTTATTTTACACATGCTCAGTGTAACACAGTAGTGCACACATTACTACCAAACAACCCATATGCTGTTTCACATGGCTTTGCAAAAAAAAACAAAAAAAACAGAAATATCCACAACAAGGGCGATGATCTTTGTCCCTCACCAAACTGTGAGGTGTTTTATATTTCAAGAACGAAAACTAGCCCAACTATCTAATAAAAGCAGCTATTTAATCACCCTAAGTCAACATGCACTGTCGCTATGGTAACTAGATGTTCTGACTCTTGGCCTCTGTATTTTTTGGGCCCGGCGTACAGCCCTGGTAATGATCATTCCAAAAAGTTATTATTTTTTTTTGATCCACTGCACTTTCTTTCTAGTTTGAGCGTTTCGCTTCCCATCAAGGACGTTTATCAAATAGCCCAACAACTTGTTAGGGCTTAGAAAACATGCAAATTGAACCCGGAGAACGGGTCCACCCCTTACGAATGGAGAATCGTTTTGGGTTCTTTGTTAGACTTTTCTTTTTATTGCTTTTTCATTTTTTTATTTATGGTGTACCCGCTTTTCCCCCATAGACTGCTGGAGATAGGCATCATGAGCCTGAAGGTGGAGAAGATGGGTGATAAACTATTTATTTTTCTAAGTTGTATTATTTCAAATAGAATTTTTTATGGTTTTATATCTAGAAATCTAATGGTTTTCTCAATTTCTTTTTTTTTTATTTAAAATATTCTAGTTTTTCTAACAAATTTTTTTTTTTTTTACTTTTCTTCACATCTCTTGCTTTTACATTGAGCTTTACAAATTGAATCAAATGTATTTTTTAAATATTCAACGGGACGTTTAGGTTAGCATGGTATTATTTAATGGTATATTTAATAGTGAAATGAACTACTAGATAAATAAATACATGTTTTTTTTATTATTGGTATCTTTATTTCGAACATGCAAGAAAAAGACAAAAAAAAAAAAACAATGTTTAAAAACATTGGAGAGAAAAACAACAAACAAGGTACCCTTCTTTCCTGAGTGCGAAAAGGAGTAGGAAGAAGTAAACCTTATGTACTCCTACCCCTTTAATTCTTGTATTTCTTCAATTTACAATATTTATATTGTAAATTGAAGAAATGTTCCATCTACTTACGTCATTTTTTCATTTATTATTTTTTTAATAATACTTTTTCCCCTCATGTACTTGCAGGATCACATCATAATGATCAAAACTATCTCATTTAAGGTCCTGACCCTTAGGGGTCCCAATGGTCCCAACCCCTACTATAGGAACCCCTGTACTAAAGAAACATTGCTGTATTTACTTTTTACACGAGATGGTATGCAATGGTAATTAGATATTATTAATATTAATCATATTATAAGAATGATCTAATAATTTGGAGACAAAAATGATTCAAATGAGTTTTATTTGTTAATAAATGTGGCAAATGCTGTTTATCCACGTTACTCACTTTAGATTTAGCTTCTGAACATGTAATTGTATGGGTGTGTAGGGAACAGATGTGGGTTAAATGTGTAAAAATATGTTCATTCTAAAACTACTACCCTGTGAGAAATTGAGGAAAAAGTAAAATCTGTCTCCTCTCTCCACTATACTAAGTATTACCATATAGGCAACATTAAGATTTTGAATTTAAATTAATCCACATGTTGTTATTAAAGGGATAAAATAATAGGTAGGAGTTGTCGGTGTCTTTGTGCCCCAGTTAAAAAGAGAGAAGAGCTTGAATTTACAGTTTTCTGTGTGAATAAAAAGGAGAACAAAATAACTATAATACAAAGCAAAAAAAATATAATATTAAAAAAAACAAAATAATTTACGTCAGTGAAGTTAGAATGTATTCACTTCCTTTTATTACCACAAGGGGGCGACCTTTTTTAACTTTAGCGCTACTCCTTATCTAAATAAGGAGTCAAGGACCCCAAACTGATGGAGGGGGGGCCCTAATTTTATATATATATGATATGAAACTGTGTTATATCAAACCTATAGTCATTCTATTACAGATGGAATCATGTAACAAAAGTAACTTCGCCCTGGGATTATTAAAGTATTTCTGATTCTGATTGGCTTTCTGCATGTTGGTCCGAAATAACTATTTTCTAACAATTTCTAATCAGAACATTTTCTCTGAATGAATGAAAATTTTTGTTTTTTTCTCCATTAATGGTAAATAAGTTCATATTCCATCCACATTCCTGAGCTGCAGTTTTATTTTACTCTACGTGGACTGTACCTCTTATGGTTCACTTGGTACAGTTATCACTAATATTGTTTTTTGTCAAACTTTTATTTAACAAAAAACATATTTAGATTAACTCAAATTTTTAAGGAAGACCAGACAAAATTTTTTAAGGATAAAATAAATAAAAAGAACAGTTACAAAACATTATATATAAACTGCTTCCTTAAATACTATTTGAAAAGAATGTTTTTAGACTCAAAAACCCTGAAAATTGAATAAGACCATCAATCTAGCTTTAAATGCACTCAGGGAGATGTAGATATAGACCTAGAATGACCTTAATTATAAAGCAGAACCAACAATGCAGCCTGTGGTAGTCACAGAAGCATATCCAACGCTAGAATATAACTGACAGTCATTGATCAAACTGTTGCAGTTGGTGACAAATCTCAATGCAAAATAATAAACTGTGTCAACCTTGTAAAAAACACTGGGTGCATGCACAAGTATAACAGTGTATTCTTATTATCAGTTCGTACGAAATGGTACGAAAAGTTATGCACAGTAATTCCGTACATTTTTGACATTTTTTTCGTCGTATTTTTACGTCTTGCGATATCCTTGCGCATGCGCATCTTACGCACCATTCAATAACATAGAATTTAACATACAATTAACCCTAACCCTGACCCTAACCCTAAGATACAAAACAGCAAGCAACGTAGTTTGAGACATCAAGAAGTAATTATTGCACTGTTTTTCCCAGTTTTACGACCGTCCGCGGATCTGCTTTTTTCGTCTGTCTGCCTGCGCATGCGCACTGATCTGTATCTTCGTGGAAAAACGTCAAAAACGTACGAAATACTGTGGATAACTTTTCGTACGATTTCATACGAACTGATAATGAGAATATGTTGAGTATAAGCTCACCATAGTCCAACACAGACGAAAAAGTGTAAGCTATAAGTCATTTATTACATCCATCCATCCATTTTCTGACATGCTTAACCTAAGTGGGGTCGGGGGTCTCCAGCTGTCTATGGGCGAGAGGCATTGTACACCCTGGACAGGTCGCCTGTCCATCACAGCATTTATTACATTAAAAGAGAAAGTTTCTGTCTCAACTTTTTCAATAATTGATGCACAAGTGTTTAAGAAGTGAAGGAGTCATCTAGATACCGATGTATTTATAGCAGGAATCACACATGGTCTAATTTTACTCTCGATCCAAATGTCTCAAATTGGTAAGGTCCTTGAAGCTGTGGTGGAAATGCAAACACAACAGGTCAATAAAATAGTGCAAGCAGTTAGGAAGGAACTAAGACCAGCAAGCAAGATGCTCTTCAGCAGCAATTCCATTAGCAAAGGGACCTCCTGACATTCATAGACAGACAATTTAGGCACAAACAACATCATGAAGTTGAAGAAAAATATATTACTTGGTGAGATGTACTCTGTGTGACATACAAATGTTCTCCCTTGCATATATTTTGGGTTTTATAATGGAGGGCAGCAGCCCTTTTTCTACATTGGAGTAGTTTTCTGGAAGGCTATGGTAGAAACTTGACCAGCGTGAGTCCTTAATGACGTCAGTGAGGCTGAAAGCTTTCTGTCTATAGCTGCTTTACCTGGATAGACTTACTCTTGACCCCGCCAAAGGTGAAGAGGTAAATGCTAAGAACAGGAGGTAGGAGCTACAATTAGAGGTACTTGGATTGA